AAATCAAGAAATCTCCATAGGTTCGATGGGTACTTGAATCAAACATATCAGGCAGAGTTTCGAAGGATCTGTATTAGGCTAATGTGAAGTCCTAGCTTTGTTTCGAAGCTGAGACTTGATTTATGAGTCGGTTTTCGAGCGAAAATCGGCATTTTTTAAACAAATTTCTTGCTGAAACACTGTGTGAACTTCATCATTTTCATAAAGACAAAATTTATTCTATCGCGTGTTCACATTTTTCGAAAAATAGGGCAAGCATTTACATAAGAGACAGCTAGAAAGAAAGAAAATTGTTATATTGTTGATTTAAAAGAAAGTACTAGAAAATGTATCCCTTGCTCAGTATGTATTCCATCTCCTTCTTCTCTCTGATCTACACTTGTATCGACAGAATAACTGCATCTAATTCTAATTCTAACTTGGAAAATGTTTTCATTCAAGCTAATGACGTTCTATCATCACAGTACAGAGATGGAATTCGTAGGGAATTTCGAGGATCAGTGCCAGTATCAATCCTGATCCGGTCTATGGTCAGACAGGTCGGTAACTACAGCTAATTTCATCTTTGCAACATCCATTTTAAGCATAAGGCTTTTAACAATGGAGTCATTGATTGGATTATAAAAAACACTTTCAGATAGATAATATTATCTGATATGATCAACTTTCAGCAAAATTTCATTACATAAGTTCTACGAATAACTTTAAGACCAATAGTAGTCTCTAAAATATTGATCAAATAGATCGGCGACCAGCTGATCTGAAATAAGGTTGAATAAAAGATAGTGACCTTTCAATGCTTTTATTGATGATGAGACAAATAAGACTGTATTTCAGAAAAATTTTTTGTTAGATGAGTCACCCGTGGATGCCAATGGCGCGTCGTTCTCACGCTTGGTCTGAACTGCACTAAACAGGAGGAGCCTGATAGTCCTCGGGTTTGTTTGATTAGCATCCAGATCAAATCATTCGGAGTTCTATTATCAAGCTATTGTCTTATGAGCTATGTCCATCTAGTCACTCGAAGTGATGAATTAATGTTGAGTCCGTATTTTGGCTTATTGGTCTTAATGTTTACTACATCTGTTAGAAACCCAGACTCAAAATTATTCATTCATCTCGGGCGATTCTCTTGTAAATTACTTTAGCACACGATCAAAACAAGGCACCTCAGCATTTGTATCTCATACAAAAAAAGGATCTCGATTGGTCACTGCCGCAACCTCGTAACATATATGGTATCTACCATGTATACGAAAGAGCTCTGACTCATTGGCTTTGAAAATTTTCTTCCACAAATCTGAAGCATATTTTTAACTTCATTGCACTTTTAGGAGTCAACAGACAGTAAACCAAACATCGAACAACGCTTCCGTCGAGTTTCAATCCAACGAATTAATAGAGTATCACCAAGTCAGAACGACAGCTCCATTCAATCAGCAACTGACGTATGTAATATTTGTTTCGCGAAAGTATACGTGACAGATCTGACCGTACGATGATCGAGAAGGTTCGGAAAGAGTTCATTCGTTGTGTACAGATTGTCTAATAATATATATTCAACGGGATATCAATGTGATCCCAGATAATATACACAATGATGAATAAAAGATCGTTGCATAGCGGGCAGAATAATTTCTGCACGGCTGAAATTTGAAATATGATCGATCAAACATGAGTGGTAGAGAAAATTCTTGCCACATTATTCATTGTACTTCACAAAATTAGAAGCAAATCACATTGACAAGACAGTGTCAGGATGCGAACAGACCGATTGAAGTGGTATCACTGGCCACATTTTGTAGTTCAACATAAATTTTCTATCTCTTTCACAAAGTAGAATCGTTGAGCAGAACTGATAATCCATAAGAGGACGATAATCGACTGATGACCGAACTTCGTCTTGGGTGCAGTCATTTTCAGTTAGTTACTAAAAGAAAGCATTTCAGACTTGACTATCGTAGATCTATACATATTGGGATTAATGATCCAATATTCGAAGGTTTTTAGGCATCCTAAAAACGCCAAAAATATACAGAAATATTCGAACCATAACTCGAAAGTTTTGCTCCGAGTTCAAGTTTTGTCATAAGGTTCAGGTTCGAGTTCTTTTCTATTAAAGACAAAATGTTTACATTTTATCGCTCCTTGCTCATTCTGTTTTCAATTGTGGCAGATAATCGAATTTAGGCAACAACTCTATTCAGATCGACTTGATTTCTTTCACATAGATTTGTGAGTGATATATTCCAAAAATCTTGATAACTTTCTTAGATGTGCCAATCTAATTGTTATGAAGGTATCTCACTAAGAAAATAAAGGTATCGGTCCATATTTTTCGCTGGATCATAAAATCATCTATTATTATGTATCTTGCAGAACAATACCGAGATACAGTTTATGAAATATATTTATTTCTAATTTCTTCGGCTTTTTGCAATTTTTTTTCTGTTGTCATTTTTCTTCCCTTGATTTTCATATTAAGAAGAAATAGATATTATTCGCGTAGTTTTCATTTTTGTAAAACATGATCTAAACAGAGTGTTGACATATATAGATCAGAATTTTGAACTCCCTCCCCTCCCGCATAGACCGTGACAAACGATCCCTCAGGGATCATCATAAGTCATGATAGGCAACCTCCAGAGACCGTCACAAACCATAATAGGTGTTTGGGATACGCGATTAGCAATCATATATGACTAAGAGCTCATGAGAATATATGAACTACTTCCTTTTTGCAATTCTAGACGATTAAGTAAACGATGATAAAGAAATGGGTCCCAAGATAGATCGAATAAAACAATATTATTGTGATTTATAACAGCAGCTACATTGTGTTTTACATTGTAATCTCGCAGAGATTGCGCGAACAACTTTCTCCTATTCATCTGACACATCACATGCGGAAGAAATACGATACTAGACGCAAACAGCGTGTTTAATTTTTTCCAGAAAATCTTAGTTTTTCTATTTTTCTCAAGGGCATACTATCAAACCGGATAGGAACTTTTTTATTAGTTGATATGTATTAAAAAAATTATAATTCCACTTGTTTTGAAGAACATTCTTTGTTACTTTTATCTTGTATGAAATTATGATAAAAGTCTTTTTATTGAATGCCAGAAATCAAATGAATATGTAAAAGTTCATTACTAGGTCAGAAAATAAATATGATCCAATTATCTGTTAAAATCATCTAAACTTTATCAGTACTCTACTCTTATGCTCAAGACTGAACGCGCAATGTTGTTATTGCAATATAAGATCTGCAATGCGAATAAAGTGTTGAGTACGGGTGTAGACGTAGGATAGGAGTGAAAATAGTGAGTAGACATTAATAGTCACATGAGCTCCGACACTCACACCCATACACTCTCAAGCAAAGCACTCCGTCATTGAACGATGCATGAGAAAGAAAACAATCCTTTTTCAATCTATCTGCGTCTGCAGCTAAAGACCTAAAGAATTGCGAACGAATTCTTACAGAATTCTATTTTTAGGTGTCAATTAAAAGTGCATCCAGTGCTCAACGAAATTTCAGCGGCGTGAGCGTCAAACGACTTTCCAGGGAAGTCACCATTCATGAACGTTCTTCTGAATCACTCATAAGATTAGAAGTATGGCAAGTTTTCCATTTCTCAGTTTGTTTTTACTCAAAGCATGTTTACTTTCAGACTTCCAAAGCGGATCGCGTGTCTTCAAAAACTTCGATCAAAGGTGTACGCGTTGATCGAATTCCAAATGAACGCAACAGTCGTGATGAATCTTTCGTGCGGTCGGCATCGAGTGATGTAAAGCGAGAAACTGGTGGAGAATGAAGATAAACGATTATTGTTATTTAGAATCCACATACAAGTGAATCAAGTGCCACACGCTCCTTCAGAGGTGTTCACATAGGACCACCGCAAGATAAAATCGATAAGGCTGGCCTAGCTGACCGACCGTCACCGACGAAGTCTTTCAAGCAACTGGACTCTGCAACAATGTCTCGCGTATGATTGTTTTAAGCCTCCAGAGAGCACACCATTTTTGTGAGAAGGAATTATTTATCGATGCTTAGAAAATTCTATTTCAAAACTAATCAGTCAATTTAAAGCACTCACTTACAATAGTACTGTGCAGTTTCTATATTATCGATTCATTTTAGTTCAGAAATTTCCATTCTATTTCATGATGAATTCTGAGATTCTATGACGTTTCTCTTGTATTAGTTTATCAGCTAAAGAAATGCTACTAAAATTTGCCATTCACATTTATAGAATGCCTTGAATCGATTGTTTTTCATACGACTCTCAATCATTGCGTTGTTCTTTGTAGGATCCTCTGTATATGAAGCAGATACCTCACTTGTTTATCCTCTAATTCAACAGCTCTCAGTTTACACCGTATATTAATGATAGAAATCTCCTGGAACTTTTTTGCGCTTGAGAAAATTTCTTAAGTCCTGAACTAATTAGGAAATTCTGACAGATGCCGTAGCAATTTCAGAAACTACACGGTAAGAACATAAGAAGTTCCCAGTACTGACAAAAACCGACTGAATAAAATGCGTCAACCGGTGTAGCTAGGCGGTTTTAAATCTCATCCTTGACATATGCATATTGCACTGAGTTTTTCGAATCTTTTCATATGGAAAATCTCGAAAATGTTTGTGGTTTCATCGCTTCGATATATGCATACTACTTCGAGAGTAATCGATTTAGCTCTTGTCGCTGCTGGATAGTATTTGTCCATAACAAATATGATCGTCTGAATGCTTTTTCTCAGGAAATCATGGAATGCAATTTAGATGATGTTGTTCCTTTTCACTCGTAAATACGTCGTGCTTGACAGAGACTCGTAGAACTACTCTTAAACTAATTATATATATGCATTTTCTTTACAGGCAACAAACAGTCCATCTAGTGTTGATTTGTGGATGGATAATGACTTTGCAACTCCAACATCACATAAAGTTCCTCACGAAAAATCTCCGGATTTTACTCGTATTAGAGACAATGCAATCAACGAAGCTAAGTAAGTACAAAAAAGGCGAACATCAGCAGCTATTCAACCGATGCCGATCGTTCATTTCCTCCTTTTTCATATTAGGCGGAAGAAACGCAAAAGATTGCCCACTTTACCTCGCCCTTGGTTAATATGCCTCTGTTCTGCATGCCTCGGTCTCTTAGCAGCTGCCATTGTTGTGGGTATCCTTCTTGGCTTACGTGAGTATTTTTCTTATTACTTTGCTTCAGGTATTAGCTTTCAGAACACGAAAGAATACTCGACAGTTACATATGCTAGTCGAGTATTTTGTCGCAAAATATCTCCACAATTTATTGTTTTTTTTTTGACTGTCGGTGTAGGTGTGGGTGTGTAGGTGTGGGTGTGGATGGGTGTGGGCGTGGGTGTTGTGTGGCGTGGGTGGGTGTGGGGGTGTGGGTGTGGGGTGGGGGTAGGGATAGAGATGAGGGTGTAGTTCTTCTCTTCATGTACACCTACACCCACACCCAGAGATGGGGAGCTCCGACCCTTTCTCGCTCCAGCTCCGCTCCAGCTCAAGTCACTAATGACGCGCTCCGCTCCGACTCCACTCCAGGCTAGAAAATTTCGCTCCAGCTCCGCTCTAGCTCCGGTCCTAATCAGAAACAACCGCTCCGGCTCCGCTCCAGCTCCATTTTAACGAAAAAGGTTTTTTGCTATTTTTTTAAAAGTTAGATGCTGTTCAATGAATTTCACGGTTTACTTCAGCATAAATATATATATATAAATAGAAAATATAGGGAAATAACAATTAATAATACAATTAAAAAAAAACTAATTATCAATACATTTAAGTTAGCTTGATTACAACATGAAAATTATTTCTGATGATAAATAGACTAGTCAATTCCAATAATTGTCGATTGCATTTTAGTAAAGTTAACACTGAGAACATATTCTTAGAGATTGGATGTGAGTTTAGTTTAGGTCGAGATGAGATAAAAATCAAGACCCACACCCTACTTTGTTCCTTCAACTTTCAGTTGAACGAAAAATGTTGTTCTGTTCTATCATAACTCAATTCTGTCACATTTTATTTGCTTTAATTTTCTCTCTTCGCCGGCGTCGTGTTCGTACATTTTAAAACTAACAATAGCGGAGTCCAATCAGCCATAGAACAATCAACTAAACGAACGGTCATTCGTTATCTCAAGCGTTGTCATTGATTAAAATGTAACAGTGACATATTCATTACATTGAATACCAGATGACGAGCTTTTCTTCCACTAATTTCCCCGTCTTCGTTCACAAAAGAAAATCCATGTCAAAATGTTAGGGATAAAAAAAAGATTAAAATCTGATGAACTAAATTGATTATGATTCAGGTAGATCGATGAATATCAGCTGAAGATTTTTCATGAATCACGAAAAAAATCAATTAAAATCGATTTTTTTTATCAAATTTTAATCGATTATAGTCGAAATTTATTCGAAAAGAAGCGTATGGTTGGAGCTAGAGCGAAAAATGCCGCTCCGACCCCGCTCCAGCTCCACCGTTCTGATTGATCGCTCAGCTCCGCTCCGCTCCATGGAGCGGAGCTAGCTCCACGGAGCGGCCGCTCCGGAGTCGCAGCTGCCCATCTCTGCCCACACCCACAATCACACCCACGCCCACCCACACCCACCCAAAATGTTTGAAAGCTAAGTAATTCTTGTCCGAAACCAATAGACTGCTCATTCGGTCTCACATGGACATTCTCGATGCTTCATTTTGATTGGGTTTGATTGTCGAAAATAAATAGAACCCAATCCAAAACAAAAATAACGGCAACATCCATCAGAAAAGGTAGAAATGTCCAACAACGTGTCGCACCATCTAATCTGCCAAAGTGATGCAAATATTTAGGAAGCGATGAAGAATGTTTTTTCTAATCTGCTTATAAAAACTCAACTATTTGAAAGAACAGGAAAGACACTGTCACTTCTCACGTCAATATGAGAGAACGAGTTTGTCAGTAAATCTTTCAACGCGTGAAGAGAAGAAGAGAAAGATAGATTTTGACAACATATCAGCTCATTATTTTCTCAGTGAGGAAAACACTCGTTCCTAAATTCCTCATAACAATGTGATTTTTCATCAAATCAGAAACATTCCGATACAAATGCATCAAAAATACTTTCCTACGCTGAAGGCGCGACAACTAATTCAGAAACAACGACCAGTAAGAAAGTTCATCTTTCCTACCGATTTCGAAACTGTTGCTGATCGCATCTGTCTAGCATCACAAATCCCACTGAAATTATTCTCAATCCTGAAAGGATGGAGTCTTGACGACGGAAATTCATATGTTCGTTCGGTGTCTGATTGGTCGATCAGGAATCAATAGAAATTGAGTTTTTCGAAAACTTGCTCCCCATAGACAGTTTGGTGCGACGAGTTCGAATCTGAGCTTTATTTTTCTCGAGACCCTATTGGTCGACTAGGAACGAATAGAAATTGAGTTTTTCTGAAAAATGACTCTCTATAGATAATTCATGGTGGGAAGTACGAATCTGAGCTCGATTTTTTTAAAACCCTATTGGTGGGTCAGAAAGCAATAGAAATCATTTTTTCTGAGAAAGAGCTACATAGTTGTAATTCTAGGCCGGAAGTTCGAATCTGAACTGCATTTGCCTTCAAATTCCATTGGTGGGTTAGGAACCAATAGAAACTAAGTTTTGAAAAGAAAGGTCCACCAAAGGTGCCCACGAAAGCGAAGTTTTAATTGAATTTGCTGTCTGTACATCTTGAAACACTATTTTCAGAGTTTGATTCTTTTTACATAATGAACCAGGTACAACCAATCAGATTCTTTCTCGATGTTTCTTCTATCAATAAAATGTTTTACTCAGATTTTTCTGAACAATGATATTTCTTCTTGGCTTTTCTTCAGTCATTGAGAATATTTATTTTCATTGTCTCCTTTCTTTATGAGAGGGTCATCCGCATTAAATTGATTGTATGTTTGTTTGTCTATCCGATTATTCAGAAAGCAATATACGCGCAAAAAATGGAAACTGATCGATTTGGGAAATAGGACACCGTGACGCTGTTACATCATCAAAATCTATATTTTGTAGAACGAGACTTGACCGCAGGTGGTCGAATATAAAAATTCAACGCAGTAATTTTTGTATCTAGGGTTATTATCTCTGCAGAGCGATTTTTAAAAGGAAGCAGACACAGTGTGTTTAAAGTCCAAATGTTATCTCTTAGCCACAATTTGACGCGAGCTATTTCATAAAGTGATTACGTGAATGGTTTACACGAAAATGGGAAAAGGGTACACAGAAGCGATGAGTCTGGAGTGGCGCCCACAAGGGGCGCCGACGACCGACAAGCAGCTGCTTTCATTGCTTCGGGCGAGAGACGATTGTGTAGGAAGATCCACGCAGTATTTCATTCTCTCATTGAGGATATTCAAAAGAAAATGTATAGAATTGGTTTCATCCTTGTGTTTGTTCCGTAAATCAGGAACTAATAAACATTTTCGACTGAAAAGAGAAATGTAAAACATTGTATGAGCCGGAACTGTCATTACAGCTTTAGTTTGAAATAAAGTTGTAGAAATCAAAGTGATTCAAATGTTCACTCTCTAGTACCCTTATAGTATGACTAGGTCTGCGAGTAGCGAGAATAAACATAGTATTTTTGAGCCGCTCAAAAGTGTAGTATGTTTGGGAATGAAGGTAAGTTGCTAGTGATCAAAACGTTGGCAAATGAGTCTCAGCTCTGAACCACATTATATTGATAGGTGTTAGTCACGTTTTATGCGATATGGTTTTTGATTTGAACCTACCGTTATAATTAGTCGTTAATGTAATTATCTCGAAACTTCATTTAGACTCATTGTGACCAATATTAATCTCATTATTAGTGTCACTCTCAAATAATTTGAAATCAAGAATTAGAACAAGTGCATTCTAGTTTGCACCAATTGATTTTTTTATAAGACCTTTTATAAGAGTCTATATTGTTCTAGACTAGCTCCTAAAAAAATCGGAAAGTGGTTTCAAACTTTTAGATTGCATTGTTCTCAAAGTTTGAAGCGAAGACCTTAGTAGTTTCTTATAAGATGTCATTCATAGATGCACGCAGGGACGAAATAAGAGCGACGAGTCGGAAGTGGTGGTCTGAAAGGGCGCCGACACGACCGACAAGGTGCTGCTTTGATACCTTTAAGTGAAACGCATTTTTACAGGAAGTTTCCGTGGAAATTTTTGATGTTTTCCTTGAGCGGCTGACTACGATAACAAGAATCCAAAAACAATCACTCGATCCAGGGCACAATTTTGTTTTTGAGAGCATTATGTTATTGTTTCTATTCGCTGCTTTCAGCATTGAGTCGAGCGAGGCCGAATGGCCGACGCCTTACTTGTATTTTTATCAAATCAGAAATATTCGGATTCACAAAAAAGAATAGTCTTCTTCTGTATTTAAGATGGTTCGACCAATACACAGATAACATCAATAACAACAGGAACAACAACAACAACTACAACAGAAACAACAACAACAACAACAACAGAAACAACAACTACAACAACAACAACAACAACGACAACAACCACAACAACCACAACGGAAACAACGACAACAACAACCACAACAACAACAACGACAACAACAACAACAACCACAACAGAAACAACGACAACAACAACAACGACAACGACAACGACAACAACTACAACAGAAACAACAACTACAACAACTACGACAACAACAACAACAACGACAACAACGACAACAGAAACAACAACAACAACAACAACAACTACAACTACAACAGAAACAACAACCACAACAACTACAACAACAACAACAACAACGACAACAACTACAACAGAAACAACAACAACAACAACAACAACTACAACTACAACCGAAACAACAACCACAACAACTACAACAACAACAACAACAACGACAACAACCACAACAACCACAACGGAAACAACAACAACAACAACAACGACAACAACTACAACAGAAACAACAACAACTACATCGACAACAACAACTACTACAGAAACAACAACAACGACAACAACTACATCAACAACAACGACAACAACTACCTCAACAACAACAACAACTACAGAAACAACAACAACGACAACAACTACATCAACAACAACAACAACTACAGAAACAACAACAACGGCAACAACAACAACAACATCCACAACAACAACAACAACATCAACAACATCAACAACGACAACAACAACCACGACAACTACCACGACAACAACGACATCAACAACAACAACGACAACATCAACAACAACAACAACAACATCCACAACAACGACAACATCAACAACAACCACGAAAACAACAACAACATCCACAACAACGACAACATCAACAACAACCACGACAACACGTAATTACCTTGACAGTAGTTCTACCAAGGGAAAAAGCGCGGAATCCTGGAATTCTATGGAATCCGATAAAATTCAACGGAATCCAGCGGAGTCTTGGAATCTCAGAGAATCTTTAGGAATCCTATAGATGCTTGGGGTTCTCAGGCTAAAACCCTAAACGTACTACCAGTGCAGGATGATCTGTTAAAATACAGCAACAATTAATAGAACATTCGAGTAACATTTTAAATAGTTTCCTCTTTCAGAACCTCTTGTTTTCAAGTCTTGAATTTGCAAATTATTCTCCTGCAATATATATTTTAGGTTAAGACCTGTAAACATACAACAGAATAGAATATAGTTGACAAATGTCAAAATGAAAACAAAAAAGACTTGAATATAAACATTTTAAAAAAATTCAGCTGTCGGCGAAGGATTGACAATAAGGCCACTCCTACTTGAATATAATGTCGTGCATATAAAACCAGTAAAAAGAAAAAATATTGAACATATATTCTTAAATGAAAATTTTATTGCTTGCATATAGATACCTCGATAGTCCATATTGAATAGATATAGCAGAGGAACAGAAAGAGATACAAATTTTAAAAAAGAGACAAAATGTTATTTTTTATGTCTTTCCGCTGATGATTGTTGTGAATGGTGTGAGTGCAAAAGCTTAACCATTCCAGTCCATAATCTCAAACCTCTATGAAACTTTCTAGGAGGCTACATGTCATCATGCCGATTAGCTAATCATTGATTCTGATGTCTTTTTTGCTTTTCGGATCTGTGCGATGAAGCAGGTATTACAGAGCCCTCAACTTCAATCAAACTGATCGTGTTCCAAGCTTACGAGGGAACACATACAACTGATCAAACGCTATTTAACTTTTAGTAATTCCAGTTTGTAGAGCTTGTTGAATTATTAACTGATATAATAATCTTTCGTGCCCATAATGAGGCTTTAAAGTAAATTTCTGATAATCAAAGTGTTCATTAACCTGTCCATACCCTATAGTGGTCCTATAAAGTTGCTATAAAGGCCCCTATAGGACCACTATAGGGAAGCTTATAGGAGCTTCCTATAGTGATCATATAGAGTCTCTAAGGATCCTATAAGAGATTTATAAGATCCTGTAAGGAACCTATGGGGGGCTGATAAGTTCCTATAAAGGCCCCATAGAGGTCCTATAGGGCCTCTATGGGATCTTGTAGA